CTCTGTACAGTAGTCAAACATCCCAGAGAAGGCCAGGGAATGTCTTATGGCCTCCATATAAACAAAAGAAGAGGTTTGTCACAGTGATGGCACTGTGTACAGTAAGTGGAACAGAGCCTCGTGTCACTGAGTAAAGGTTAAACTGAAGAGAAACACATGACAGAGGTGGAGAGTACAGTGGAGCCTGTTGATTTGAGGATTAGCTTTTGTTAGACGTGGCTGAGAAAATAAAATGGGACTCTAAGGGACTGTTGACAAGCAGAGGAGGTGTAAGGTTGCAAGTGTGTAGCTCACAGGTGCGTGTTGTGCTCCATAGATAAGGGGACTGTCCAGAAAGTCATTGTGCTGCCCAGAGATGACCTACAAACTGAGGAGCTGGTACTGGAAGAGGTAGAGGTGTTCAAGGTGAGCCTGTTTCTCAATTACTTTGACTTCATCTACCATATTTTATCTTTGCACATCCATTTTATTCTCTGTTTAGCTTGTTCTGTGCCTCCCTTTTTAATAAATGTGTTGTCCATTCTCTTTTTCTTTTTCCATTTTGTTAGTGCCTTTGTATATAAAATTTTCATCTGTTATAAAGATAACACACTTTTCTCTATCAAGGTCCCTACTCCAATCACAACAATGAAGATCTCTTCCAAAAGGGTAAGCACCTTTGCGCAACAGATTTTAACCTACCTTTGCCCACATAAAGAGAAAGGAAACCACCTTCCGAGAATGGAAATAAATGAAATGCCACAAGCTACATGAATGCTCCTGCATTTTCCTTTATAATTCTTACACGCATGTCTAGGGAAGACAGCGAAGAATGGAAAAGACATTAAAGTATAGTATTGTCTTTGAAAGTGATTAAATACTGGGCCTCCTGTAAATGTTATGATATCATTCTGCAGTTAGTATTACACTCAGTTTGCCAGATTGTTGAATTTTAAACAGCTGATCATAGCATTAGGAAGGTAATGTGACAGATATGAGTTCAATATGCTACCAGATGTGTGTCAGCACAGTGCAGGACTAGAATTTACATTATTATTATTATTATTAGTAGTAGTAGTAGTAGTAGTAGTAGTAGTAGTAGTATACTTTAAAAATCATCTGTATGAATGTGTATGGTCTGACTTTCCCCCTTCTTCTATTTTCTAGTTGTCATCCAGATGTTCAAGTCTGAATCTCACATCTTAAAATTTTATTTCTGAGTCAATCTGAGGAACCATTTTTTCACTTAACTTGTGGAGCCTATTTAATTTTTAAAATTTGAATATAGGTTTTGAATATGGGATATTTAAATTCTGTATCTATATTTGTGACTTAAAATATATATAAGTTAGGGGTGTCGCAATATTGACTGAAACCGTGACATTTAAAACTGAACTACTGACATTAAGTTAATAATACACATATGATAATATTGTAAATAACCAGTAAAAAGGACTACCAATCAGTCACTAGCTAGGTAGCTACTACCCTATGAGACAGACAGTATACACAGTAAAGTTAATGATTCATTTGACTGACTTTTTTTCAAATTATCTGTAGAGCTCATGATAATATCATTATTGTGAATTTTTTTGACCACAATAATCATGTAATCTGATATCGTGACAGCCCTACCACAAATAAAAAGCATAGTTTTAGTAATGGCCAGTATTTGCTCCATACTGTATATTAAGGTCTGCTCAATGTAAAAATACTCAGGAAGTCTTGCCTGATTTTGTATTTAACATCATTTTTCCTCCTTTTCTCTCACAACAGCAACAGCTGTATGTGTCATCTGTGGTAGGGTTGACCCAGTTGGCTCTTCACCGGTGTGATGTGTATGGTGAGGCCTGTGCTGACTGCTGTCTGGCCAGAGACCCGTACTGTGCCTGGGATGGCAAGTCCTGCTCCCGTTACTCTGCCTCGCAGAAGAGGTAAGCACCAACAGTAGTGCTGACATGAGCTACACTAACTCAAGAACTAACTGACAGACTCAGCTGTGTTCAATTATGTTCAAATTAGCCTGCCTGGCTGGCTGAATGGCTGTTTGGACGGCATTCTGATCTCTTTTATTATGTTCATGGCCATGGTGCTTGGGTATGCTGCAGTTAACACTACACTAATATTTTTATATTTGTGGTATTATAAGAGTAACTAGTAAATGGTGTATATTTGCATGTTACAGTGGTATAATAACATAATGGGGTGGTGGTTACTAGGGATGGGCATTTCAAGCTAAAATGCTATTCAGTATTCACTGGGAACTATTTGTTCCATGGCAGTGGAAAGCACATTCACAGGGTTTGCTGCAGCAATGGTTTACCATTCCAGCTTCATTCTGAAGAACAGCACTCTGTGTTTTCCAGTTGCTTATATAATGGCAGGTGACTGTCACATACGATTCAGTTGTAAGCGCTGTCCATGCATCTGTGGTCAGAGACATCTTTTCAACACATGTCAAATGACTACACAGCTCACGTGCATTATCATCATACAGTTTATCCAGTGACCATATACTCCAGTTGGGACCATATACTCCAGCTGAACACATGCCATTAAACTTCGAAAACTCTCCACCTCAACAAAGCTAATGGGTAGCATGTCCTCTGCCATCATCTTTGTGATGAGGGCTGTTATTTGCACTGCAGGTCGATCATCAGACTTCCTTCTTCAGGTGACCAAGCTAGCCACTGGCTGTTGATCTGTGGGCCACACCCCACTTTCTACTGGATGCCTGGCCTTCAAATGGCTGTGCATAGATGCTGTTGATTAATCATATGCCGACTTAACCTGGAAGAGTTTGCAGTGCACCTCATTTTCGTTTATTTTCTTGAAGAAGTTCCACACAGGATGTTTTGACAGTTCTAGTATCTGCATGTTTCTGCACTTTGTATTTGGCACTGTAGTAAAAAGATATACTGACCTCATTATCGCATTATTTCCAGGCACCAGTAAAAGCAAGGGAAACCAGTGGCTCTTTGTTTTTAAAGACAAAACCATAGTCACATAAAATATTACATTTTTCTTTCTTTAATGAATAGTCGAATATTTGAAAATCATTGCCCATCCTTAGTGGTTTCCAATTGAATTTAGTACTTCAGTGGCTTTATGTACTATTGAATGGCTTTGAATGGCTTGCGGTTGCTTTATGACTTTTTCTCTCCTTATTCGGCAATACTGGTCTGACCCCTATAGACGTAGCCGGAGGCAGGACGTCAGGTACGGGAACCCTATTCGCCAGTGCAGAGGCTTCAACTCTAATGGTAAGAAAAGTGATCATCCACCCCCTTGAGTTTTGCTTCTATGTATTTATTAATCAACTCACAAGGTTGG